ACACCTCAACCCGCCTCAAAGCCAACGCTGATTGGACGTTCGTTTGGTGAACGGCTCCAAATTTTCTTTAACGGAGAGTCTCCAGACTGATCTGCGAGTGAAACCTTGAAAGCTCGCGAGATCAGGATGGTCTCACGAGGCTAGAGATATGCGGCAAAGGACCACAGGCTGGATTCGAACCCAGGTCGCCCGTGTCGAGGACTGAGGCCTCCATACATGGGTCATGTGCGCTAACCACCTGCAAACCCGAAATAAATAAATCAATAAGCGTTTGTTGCAGTCGCTGCCAGAGCTTTGACTGCTACCATGGTGACGACAGCTTATCGTTCTGGTTGTGCGAGGGTAGACCATCGCAAAGGGGAGGGTGCAGTTATACCCAGCAGTGCCATGAAGGGGAGCTAGTTCAGCAGCGAGGGGGCTTCACAGCCAGTGTGAGGTGAGTAGGTGGAGGAAGGAGCCTTTATCTGTAACAGCGCTCCATGACATGAGCCGGTGCTTTAATTTGTTGACAGCCCATCCAGCTCAGCCTAACGGCGCCAACACTGAGGAATGTGTGGAGTGGAAGTGAAGTTATGCCCGCTGACACATGCCAACCTAGAGCTTTAAAAGGCCAAAGTCACGGTCGGCTAACGGCATTCGGTAGAGGACTACAGTCTCCTCAGGTACCACAGACCCTCAAAGCTGCGGCGCCTCGACTGTCTGATCCGTTTTGAGCTGGTTTAACGTTTCCAGAGTTATCAGTCCCTCAGAGGAGGAATCTACAAATCGCACCGCTGCTTTATAGCATCCAACTGAGATTTTAGCAAATGCAGATATTTGCAAAAGGTTTGACAACCTAAATGCATCTTTGAAGTATTCTATGTAAAGGTACAATTTAAAGTATTGTATATTTATCAGGAGGCAGAATACTGAACCTAAATCCTTTCCATCACTGTGATTAGGGCTGCTGCTTCTCTATTCTACAGCAGGGATTCCCAAACATTTCACAAAGTCACACAAAACAATTCAGTGCTACGATGGAGTATTAGGGCCAGGCTAGAGAGTTATTTTATTTAAATACGAGAATAAAGTTATAATATTACAAGAATAACGACATAACATTATGAGAATAAAGTTTTAGTACGTTTATGAGAATTAACGATAAAGTTGAAAAATAACAAGAATGAAGTCATCATTTCAAGTCGTAATTTTCGTGACTATTGTCTTTGTGACTTTATTCTAGCAATTTTTACGACTTTATTCTCGTTGAAACTTTATTCTAATGTAACGCCTTTATTTTCATAATTTTACGACTATTCTCGTAATTTTATGACTTTATACTCGTAATTTTACGCCTTTATTCTCGCAATTTTACGCCTTTATTCTCGCAATTTTACGCCTTTATTCTCGCAATTTTACGCCTTTATTCTCGCAATTTTACACCTTTATTCTCGCAATTTTACACCTTTATTCTCGTTGAAGCTTTATTCTAATGTAACGCCTTTATTTTCATAATTTTACGACTATTCTCGTAATTTTATGACTTTATAATCGTAATTTTATGACTTTATTCTCGCAATTTTATGACTTTATTCTCGTTGAAGCTTTATTCTAATGTAACGCCTTTATTTTCATAATTTTACGACTTTATTCTTGTAATTTTATTACTTTATTCCCCTGAATTTATTATATTATTCAAGAAATGGTCCTAATACGATCCACTAAAAATACATATTTACCTAAATTACTCCCTGTTTATTTACAGAAGTGAACTAATTATATTTATTTTAAACATATTTATTTTTATTAAAAAGGCATTTAACTAGTTATTGCACCATTTGTATCCTTCCTTCTAGGTACATTTTTAGTTTCTGTCTGGTTATTAAAATAAAGCGTTTAAAGGGATTTAGTTTTTAACCCATCCTGGAGTCACTCAGCAGGAAGACTACGTGGAAGCCGTTTCCTTCTGAAAAGAATAATTATTTAAATACAAGCCGCTCTATTAAAGTCGACTGGGACATTTAATCCACATTATCGACGTAGAATCTACAGACGGATCAGTTTTCAGTTTTAGCCAGACTGGATTTGAGTCAAACAGTATCAAACTTTTAATTTTTATCTCGGAAAATGACGCCGTTATCTGAACACAGACTGAATATTGTATTTTAACATAGTTTTTTCCTCTCTCCATTTTCCCGTACAGCCCCAGTTGCTGATGTGTATCGTTTTATTTAGGGGTGTTCAACTATATAAGGCCTGTTAGTAATACATCAAACTTTTTTTTTTTATGGAGTGGATTTTGTTACATTATTGTTGAAAGCAAAAACATATTTTGTAAATTAAAGTTTGAAGAAACAAAAATTCCTGAAGATAATCCAGAAATAATAGATAAAAAAAGGTTTTAATTGCAAACTAAGAGCAGATTTTAAATATTTGTCTATTTTTAAGTATTTTATATCTTAATTTTGCTATTCTTTTATTTTCAATATTTGTTTATATTTCTATTTTTATAAATTAACTCTTTTTTTCTGTTCAAATTGCACTTATCAGATCACATTTTCTTTACTTCCAGGGGGCGGGGCTTCCTCTGGAGCAAAGAAGCATTTCTATTGGTCAGCATGAACGTTAGCAACAATGTTTTCATTGGTCAGGAACGAGCGTTTGGATCGAAGCGAAGAGATTGGGATCTTTGAAAAGCAACATGAGAAGAATGAAATTCGTAAAACTCAATTTAAAAAAATAATCATTCTAAAGAAACTTGAAAAAAAAAATATTGGAAAAATAACATTTGTAAAATAAAATGGAAAATATAAAATCTGCACAAAATACAGAAGATTTAAAAACAAATGTTAATTAAGAAAAGCAAAAATAATGATGCTCATTGTTACTTTCCAAGTTGGAGAAAGTGGGATTATTTTCTCTGCTGGCTGGTTGGAACAATGCGGCTCCTTCTACAGTCCGGTTTTCTCTCAAACCTGAACTTATGGCACCAAAGTAACTAAAAGCAACTGAAAACAAAGCTGCTTCTGTCAGGTTGATCTCATGGTTACCTGCCATCCCAGCCGACAGCATGTGCACCTGCGTGGAGTCCGGTTCCAGGACGCCGTTCAGCTTCTCTTTGGCGGTGGAATAAGCGGCGAAGTAGATAGCTCTGTTAGAAGAGAAAAAAACAGGGGATTAAATGAGCCACGCTGTTGGGTTGTTTTAGCTACAGCCTCTTAATTAAACACTCAGCCTCTCGTTTAATGAGCTTGAAACATTTATTAGGCGAAATGCTGAAGGCACGAATAATTTTACAGCAAATTTCAGCCTCTTCAGACAAACACTGCATTCAGAAAGTAAAGTGCAGCGGGTTCGGTTTAATGAATGCATTTAGTCTGTTAAATAACTCATTATGATCATGTTTAAACATCTAATTAACTATAAGTGTTTGTTCTGTTTCAGCACCCAGGCTGCCTGAGCTCATCCGTCACGCCGTAACTCCGTTAGCAGCGTCTCTTTAGCTTTTATGCTGCGACGGCACAATTTGTGTTTGATTTAACTAACCACTCCAGAAACTCTGAGCAGCAGCACCTGCTCGCCTCGGCAGCAGCCCGCCGCCATTAGTCCTCGCCTTCCTCCTCTCATTAACGGGGAGCCTCTCAGCTTCCTAATCACACTCCGGCTGTTGTTGCAGCGTCTCCGAAGCTCAAACTGCTGAGAAAGCCGTGAGTTAACGACCGCGCGGCCCTGATGCTTCCATGTTTCTAAGGAACGTCCCGAGTTGCACCTGATCAAGGCGCTCCTCGTTTACGTTAGTTAAACAAACTGCTTCTGACAGTGGCTAATATTAAGGAGAGCATGGATGTCATTTTGTCCCTTTTTCAAACATCTGTTGGTCCACGTTTTATTGTCCAAAAACAAATTTACGCTACAGTACACAGACAATCGTTGAGCACTAGGACCAAGCGGAAAACCGCAGTTCAAGCTGAAGCTCGCTTCCCTGAGTCCCAGGAAGAAGGTTGGTGGGACTAATGGCAGAAAATGGGAGACATACAAGTAGGGATGCACAATATTGGGATTTTGGCCGATATCCGATATGCCGATATTTTAAAACTCATGTAGCCGATAACCGATATCGATACCGATGTTAAAGCTGGACAAAAATAAGTAGTCATTGAAAATAGCAGTTTTGTTATCCATTTCTGACACTTTGAAAAATAATATACTCAAATATATTTTCATATGCTGATATCAAATTGATTTTTAAAAACGCGGTATCGATCTATTTTACTAACAAAATCTCACAAGAATTTGTTAGTAAAATAGATCGATACCGCGTCAATATATCAACATTTTGTGAATTTTCGGGGGATTTCGTAGCATAACGATGACATATAGCAATATTTCATTAGTAAAAGAGATTGATATGGTGTTTTTAAATGGCAATATATCAGCATATGAAGATATTGGGATATTTTAATGGATCAATATTATTTCCCTCGTCTTTAGAAGTTTTTAAGTCTGTAAAAAAGACGTTTTTGAGGAAGAAGAAGAAGAAGTACTTTTTTTTTTTAGACTTTAGAAACTCAGAAGCTGATCAAATATCGGGTTAAATATCGGTGGGGTGGCCGATGTCCGATATTCAGTTTTAAGGCCGATACCGATAGGGGGCCTATTATATCGTGCATCCCTACATACAAGAGCATCTCCCTTCATCTGGGGCTCCATGTTAGATCTCATCCTGTGGGATCAAAATGATCATGAGAACTTTGAGCAGAAATCCCAGAACTACAACCAGGAACTGGATGAATGACCGGAGGAACGAAGGCTGCCATCAGTAACACACCAAGCCCAGAGGGACCCCCATCCTGTGGGGCCAGGCGGGGGCCTCTGATATGACGGTACAGGTCCAGACTCATCTGAAGTTTGCTGGAGAACAGATGGATGATGTGGTCAGAACTTTCTGGAACAAACCTGGGGTGTTTGGAGGAGGAAAAAACACTAAGCCTACTGTGAAGCATGGTGGTGGGGACATCATGCTTTGGGGCTGTTTTTCTGCAAATGGGACAGGATGACTGAGCTCAAAGACCAGAGCGAGGAGTTCGCTCCGCTGCGCTCACAACACATGTATCGGTCATTAAATCAGACGCCGTATGTGAGCGAGTGTGGAGCGATTTCGCCGAAGCGGCAGGAAAATTAAGGTGAGCGCAAAGTGGATTTTGAGCGGAGCTTCCTGGCGCAACTTTGAGCGGCAGAGTGATGGAGCAAACATCCTCCTGAGCGGGAAGCGGGAACTGCACGGCGCTCCACTCCGTTCACATGTACTGGTGCAAGCAGATATCCATCCAGGTCTCCATAAATAATGTAATTAAGATAAGAGACTTTATTGATCTCACAGCGGAGAAATTAACTTGTCAAAAGAAGGTGCCGAAAGGAGGAATATTTGCATGGGGTATGTATGGCACGTTCACAGATATACAGTGGATCGAGAAAAAAAAAGAAAGAAACAAGGCATAGATTTAAGGTGACTTATGTACATTAGGATTTGGCGTTGTACGTTAGCTTTTCTAGTTTAGTCACAAGTTTAGGAGTTCAATGATTTTTGTTAATAAAGTGATCCATCTTTTATAAAAGCTGTGAATTTATTCCATATATGCACAGAGCTAATTGTTTGAATCAGACCTTCATCTGTAGAGACTGGAAACTAATCAGTTTGATCACTAATTTTTTAAAACAGATAATCCATGTTGTCGTTAAAGGTGTTCTCTATAAAGGAGGGAGAAAGCTCACCTGGAAGGTGCCACGCCCACTAAATTGGGCCCCAGGCCTCTGAAGAGAGATCGAGCGCCTTCTTTCTTCAGAATCAACCTGATTAGAAAACACAAAAAACACATTTATTTCACCCCAAATCACATCAGTTTAAAGATTTAACACATTTTTCTTACAACTATGATTCAAATTGTCAACAGTTTTAGGTCTAAACTCTCTGCTTTGACGTTAAATGTTTTCTGCCGTTATCTGTGAAGAACCTGAGTCGTCCGGGTCATGGTGAAGCTTGAAAGGTTTAGTTTATGCCACGTTCACACCTAAAGCAGCAGAGGCAGCAGGAACAGCTAGCTTACATGCAAAGTCAATGGTTGACGTGCATCACGGCGCAGCAAAAGGTCCTGCAGCTCGTTTTGAGCAGCTGAAGCAGCGGTGCAAACGCACTGCAAACGCAGCAGCAGCTGCTGGAGTTGGATAAGCTGAACTTTGGCTGCTGGACGCGCCACATCAACCAGTCAGAGCAGCTGATCTGGTAGCTGGTAGGGAGACAGACGCAGCACTGCTGATGCAGAGAGCTATGATCACTCCTCTGAAACAGTTTATTAACGCCTAAAGTAACTTAGAATGTAGAAACCTGTCAGAAAAACATGTTGACTTTGGTTCCTGCAGTTTGGATTACGTATATGAAAAAGAGGCGACCGGGCCACAGGCTGCTGTTGAATGGGATTCCTATTGTTAGCGCACCGCCGGTATGTGGGGGTCTGAGCTGCTCCCACTGAGAAATAATCTTTGAAAGCAGGATGGTAATCTGGATGAACTGACTGCAAAGTAGGGCTGGGCGATATAGAAAAAAAGCTTATCGATAAAAAAAAATGCATATTGATCGATATCGATAATTCTTGAAAAGATTTGAAACCATATTTTATGTGCAGCTCTGCCTGGACTTTTTATAATATTGCTAAATGATTTAATTTTAATAAAAATCACAAACACAGACTTCGAATTAAATCTTTA